TGGAGTACACTGGAGTCACTATAACTGTGTAGTTCCCCTCTGTCAGTGACAGACTTGGCTTGCTTTAACTATTCAGACATAGGGATAGTTAAGGAGTGGGTTATGAAAAATTGTTTTTTGGGCAGGTAAGTAAAACAACCACAGAAGTTTTTCTTAAGCTAAAGACTGTATTAGTAATGACAGACATTTTCCCTCTCCTCCTAGGCACCTGAATTCTAGTAATATTTCTTCCATATTTTACAGTTATGCAATGAGTAGAGAATTTTGCCATCAGTACACTGTGGAAAAGGCTGCACAATACATTTGTATGAAGATACGATATCCTTGGAGTATAGCTTAAGTGAAGCTGCATGCAGAGGGGATCAGAGAGGTGAGAAATTCTTATTTTGGCCATATTAAAGTCAATATAAACACTGTGTGTGCTGGTGTTGTAAATATATATATGAAAACAATAAAAGGTTGGAGTAGATCTCTGAACAACCGCAAAATAACCCATCACCTGTGCTTATGTATTATGGATGCATTCTTAAGACCATTGCTCTGTGGCACCAGACAGTACTGTAGACATCAAATGAAGTTATGAATACCATTCGTATTCTAAATTTCTTTTACAGTGTTGGAAAATGACATTTCACCGCTTCATCCTATGGAAACTTTAAGATGTAACCAGGCAGTCAACGTACCCTTCAGGTAAGCACACAGCTTACAGAAGAGAGGGACTGAAGAGCTGAGTAACACTTTCAAAACAAAACTGAGAGCTTTCAAGATTTGTTTTGCATGTTTTGAGGTTTTCTTACAAACTTGTACCATAAAGTATTTCACTATGTGTACCTGAGATAAATTAGTTATATCTGCAGAACAGTGTGTGGTTTGGGACAGAAATCAGCTACATTTAAGCAGTTGAAACTGGCTTTTTCTGTTTTGCTTCTGTTTGAAGCAAATTTTGCTTTGCTTTTTTTCTATTTTGCTTCTGTTATGATACTGTCTGTTTGGAATACTCAGAAGCCTTTAGATAAAAGACACTGCAGCACAGCAGACTATGGTTGACTGATGCTTATTTAGTTATGTACAACTAGTGGCTTTGCCACAGACCTTTCAAGTGATCTTGCTCAATTAAATTAAGCCCTGTGTCAATTGAAAATACTGGAGATTACTTCCATTTTCTCTTTGCTGTCTACTTAGCCTGTCAGGTATTTGATTGTAATATAGTGGTTGTCACATATACAACAATGGCAAAATGAAGCCCTGATCTTGAATGGGGCCTGTAAACAACACTGCAACATAGCAAAGTTAATAGTTTGACATGGTAATGCTAGAACTTGGTGTGTATATTTTAAGTGAGGGGACACCTGGTCCTCTATAGTCTGAGATATCCCCAGGTCAAGGAGTTTTAGTCGAATTGGTCAGGTGAGATCTGCTCCTTTTTATCAGGCCCAGTTCCTGCAGGCACTATATAAGCAGTATCTTGAGAATTTACAGGCATCAGAAACTGCCTTAAAGATTTTTTGTATAGAGGAAATCTCTATTTTCTTAATGCTGCTGGTGAAGGCCTGCCTGCAGCAGTAGCTCTGCCGTCCTCTACTCTGAAGTGCCTTTCCTCCCCTTCTGCTGCTTTCCCAGCCACCCATTGATGGGATCAGATGGGATGGAGAGCAGGAAGGTTTGCTGCAGAGACGGGAGGCATGGTAGAATCAAACTCTGACATTCTTTATGTCAATTAAAATCATGTGCTGTTATTTAAGGATACCCTCCTGCCAGGTGTAGATTAGCCCAGGACTGAGCTGCTGAGAGCATTGGGGACAATTTAAAAATTTAATTCAAACCTACCAGAATTTAAATTCAAACCATCTTTGCTTTGCCTGCAAATGACCTGCATCATTGGCAGCAGCTGTGCAGCCTGTGGGCAAAGTTCTGCTGTTTGCATGTCCGTGCCAGGAAAGTGCGCCTTTGCCTGAGAGGAGACACTGGGCCGTGGCTGTGCAGAGCTCTCCGTAGAGCCCCCTTGGCCCTGTGTGTATGGACCGAGAACAGCTGTGAACTGCTGACTCAGTGCATGAGAGGGCTATGGAGGGATAGTCATATGTGAAACTATTTCATACTCATCACTGTTTTGTGAAGTGTTTAATCATTCCACCACACATAATATATGGAATTAATAACTTCATGTGATGTCCTTTACACCTGAGCAGCTAAACAGGCTTTTTTTGGAATACTGTATTAGATATACATCATATGACCTTATATCACCTAGACACTGTCACACTGAAGCTTTACAGTTAAAAATTACAAGAAATATCTTGGACAACTCAGGCATTATTTTAGAAACGTTAGGCATCCATTCTGTGTTCCTAGTACAATGTTAACTGGTTGTTTACAGTTAGATGCTGTTAACCAATCCAAATATTTTGCAGTATGGGAAACATTCACTGCTTGCAAGTCTCTGTTTTCATATAATATGCAGGTTATAGGCACTGACTTGTTCCTGAAACTATGAATGCTTCATATTACATAAGTGAACATCAACATCCAAGGCAATGCAGATCTTGTTTTAACAGTTCGGTTCTGATCTTACTTATTATTTTTTACTTTTCTCTTGCACACATATAGAT